TATTAATAAATTACATATTATAGTAAAATAAAAAATATGGTTACCAGAATTATGAAAAGTGAAAAAATATATATATACAGATAAACAATGGAAACTGATAGGTACCCGATATTAGTAAAAAGTGCCTGATATCTCATGGATATACTATGTCCGATTTATTACCGATTTGTGAACTATAGGTGCCTGATATAACATAAATAAAAATTGGATACCCGATAAGTGAATGATAAATTTGAAAAAAATACCAAAATTATCCAAAAATGTATACCTGATATATACCCGCTATATGACTGATGTATATTCGAAACTGTACAAAAAAACTGCTCTAATCAGGTACCCGATTTATAAATATCGGACACTTATCACATACCTATCGGATATCCGATAGGTATGTGATAGGTGCCCGATATATCAAATTTCGACCAGTGTAATTTACAAGTTTATTTTCTTAGGATAGTCGATTCAAGCAAAAGAATGAGATAATACGTGTTCATGTATGCAAATTCATATCCATCATTCAACTGTAAATGGAATATTGAATGGAACAATAAATAATATAAATGGGAATGCATTCAGTGTAAAGAGGAAAAATCAAGCAGAGGTAAATGCCTTAATTAGGAATATTAATTTGTGTTTGTTGTTAATGAATTATGATTTTAATTTTAGGACAATGACAAGGGCTCAATAGCGAACGAGAATCGATCAATATTCTCTGCTCACGCTGTGACCCCATACCCGCTTTCACAAGAAAAGAGTGAAATTAATGCAGATTCGCTAGATTTTAGTGATGTGGAAAACTCATATTCACAAGAACTATCATCAGCTGAAGTTTGAAAAATTTGTCTTTTTATACTTAATTACTGTTCATTATTCAAAAAGCCTTTTCTATATCACAGACTTCAAAAGATGTGACTATCGAGAGGCTCAATAACAACAAAAGCAGCATTGCAAGATATTGGATCATATTCCTACCAGAATGCAATTTATATGATCCGATAAAGTGCCTGTATACTGATAAAGAATGTTAATAATGGAATCAACTTGGGAGAAAGTTGCACTTTTATTTTTTTATTTTTTTTATTTAGGGATATAGATAAACATAAATCGTGTGCAAGCAACTGGTATTATGACACTATTTTAACTATGAAAGTTAAAAATAAGGATGTTCAAATAGTGTTTGGAGAAATAACTGGGAACGCATTTAAACAAGATGACAAAAAGTTAAATGAGGACTGAGAAAAAATACCCAAAGGTGAAAGCATAACTTCAGTATAACTTAGTTTTTCTTTTTATTGTAAAAATTTTTAAAAGAACTATTAAATTTATAGCCATGCAGTTAGTTCTTTCAGACCTTCAGAAACTATTTCCCAAAAATGAGCCAGTTGTCGAAGAGTTGGAAACTTTCGAATTACTTGTGTACAGTATATAGTAATTCGGCTTATTAATTTCTTATGTAACGTTTATTAATCTTAATACAGAAAAAGAGTTCTTTTTGTATTCAATGCATGACGTGATGGATGATCAATACAATGGATTTACAATTCCTGATACATACAGCTAGAGAATATATATCATTCGCATAATGTTCATTTTTAAGGTATTGAAAGAGTTTTATTCATTATCATTATTGTTTAGAATTAATATTAACTTTACTATGTATTTTCTAGAATTGTATTATAAAACTTCAATAACATGTGGAATCCTTACATAAATTCAAAATCAGTTTTATATGTGGTGGTACGATGATGACGATTCAACTGTTCATGCGTCTATCAATTAATATTAATTTTGAATCATTACCTTTATCAGAGAAACTACCTAAATAAAATACTTTAAAATATATATCAAATATAAAATAATTAGACAATGCCTTCTATTTTGTGTAATGCAAATTTTTTATTATAATAAACAGACCCTAAGGTCAATTTCACTACGCATTTTAAATAAATAATAAATATGAAGCCTAAAACATGCGATCTTTATTATTATTTGACTGAATGTATTACGCAATCGATTATTTGATTGATTTGATAATATCAGAATTTATAAGAGTAATTCTTTTTTACATGTGATTTTTATTGGTAATAGGAGATTGGGAAAATTAAGCAGAAACTGGAATATGAACTCATAGATCAATAGATCTCAACAAGGAAGAGAAGGCATGAGGAAGATGATAAAGAATATAATGTGGAAAGGAGAGATTTGAAAAATATAGAATACAGAGTGTTAACTGGGTTTGTCCTAAATATAGTCAGTAAATTGGAAAAGAAAAGAATGAAGAGCAAGTAGAGAAATTTGTACAATTGACTATAGCCAAAGATGAAAAGTTAATAACTCAAAAAGATGAAGATGCGAAAATAAAAAAAATTTTTTGGATGATACATCAAATAGGAAATTTGCTAGAATCCAGATATTATTTTTCAGATAAATTTTACTAATTTTGTAATATCATATTCACAGAGATCAAAATACACAATTAATAAACAAACACGTTTTAACGAAAATTAAAAATATGTATTTAACCCTTAAATATATTTATTTCGAAGGAGATACTAATTTCATCATTAACGTGCAAAGTAATAACTCGATAATTAATAAAAGGACTGTTAAAGTTCACATGACAGAAATTTTTGGGACCACGCGGGTCTCGGAAAATACTTAATTGTGTATACAAGTACCGCATACATGCAAAGCAAGAGAGGTTATCACGTGTTTAGCATATTTATTAAAAAGTCGTACCAATAAACTTATAACTCCTCAAGATACCCCTACATGGGATGGAATAGATGGAATAGGGGATACTTCAAAATAAAAAATAATAAAATATAAATATAAAAATATAAAATATAAAATATAAAATACAAACATCAATTTCAGGAAAAATTTCCGTATACATCATTCAGGAACATTCTTCAAGGCACATGTACAAAAATATCAAATATCAATAAGTTAAATAAATTAATAAATTAATAAATTACAAGTTTAAGCTTATTATTGCTGTCGCAATTTCTTATCTGTATAAATGAACACAAAATCAATGTACATTGTGCATATGTAGTTCTTTCTAAAACTTTATAGTTACAATTTCCCTATATTGGTTAAAAGATTTGGTTTAAGATTGATTTGTTACGTAAGTTAAAAGTTATTTATATTATTTATATTATATTTAGTTTATAAAAAGGAGAAGGAAGTATTTCTTCCTTTTTTTTTTAATTATAAAAAGGACCAATTCATTTTTTCCTGATTTTTATACCTTTTTTTAAAAAAATAATTTTTGATACTTTTCGTATATATTTTATATTACGAAGATAACCTTTTGATATATTATTTTGTTATTATTTATTATTTATACTACCACCACTATTCGGAGACTATCTCATACTATCTTATACTATCTCATACTCTCGTACTATCTTCGTACTAGCTTACACTATTTCACACAATTACTATTTATTTTTCACATTTATTTTTCACATTTATTTTTCATTTTTTGAAATAAAAAAAATAAATAAATCAAAAAATGACGTCCTGCAAACTTCTTTCAGTGTTCTCTCAAGATATAGTAAATTTATTATTAAATTCTGAAGATTATAATGTTATAATTCATGTTGGAAAAGAAGAAAGAGAAGATCCAGTATTATTTAACAATAATAGTAATAAAGGAGAAGAAGAAGATAATCTTGAAGTTAATAATAGATACATTAGTAGTGATATCAGAAATGATAGAAATGATAGAAATGATATGGATGATTATCATAGAACGCAAACATTTAAAGCTCATTCATTAATATTAGGAGCAAGAAGTAATTATTTCCAAACTGCTTTATCTAAACAATGGGCTAAAAAAGAAGGGGAAGCTAATGTTTTAAGTCAACCTAATATTAGTCCTAAAGTTTTTGAGATTATATTAAAGTGAGTTTTTCAATTTCGATTTCGATTTTTTTTTTTTTATATTAATTATTTAATTCTATATTAATTATTAATTATATATTAACCTTATATTTTAATTATATTTTAATTATAATTTTTTAGTTATATATATAGTGGAACAATATCTCTAAGTGATCGTGACATTTTAGAAATTCTCGATATTCTTTCAGCTGCGGATGAGTTACTTCTCACAGATTTATTGGATTACATTCAAGAATATTTAATAGAAATCAAATCAAGATGGCTTCATTCTTATATTATACCAATTTATCAAGTTTGTTTGGCTCATGATTCTTGTTTAAATCTTCGAGAATTCATTTTAGCAACGATTTCATCTGATCCTGATCTATTATTTAAATCCGAAGATTTTCTCAAAATTGATAAATCATTATTATTACCAATCTTGAAAAGAGATGATTTAGATATGGCAGAAGTTGAAGTTTGGGATCAAGTCATAAAATGGGGATGCGCTCAAAATGATTTATTAGATCAAAAAATTACTCCAATTATTAGTACAATTACTCCAACTTCTCCATTTGGTCAACTTGATGAAATTTCTTTTACTAATAATAGTAATATCAATAATATTATTAATAATAATAACAACAACAACAATAATAATAATGATAATAACAATAATAACAATAACAATAATAATAATAATGATAATATCAATAATTCTATTAGTAATAATAGTAATAATAATAACAATATTATTATTATTAATGATGGTAATTCTACCAATAATAATAATCATCATCATAGTAGTCATAGTAGTATTAGTAGTAATTATAGTATTAATGATAATATAACTTTAAGTTATAATTTATCAAATTGGACATCAGAAGATTATAATAATTTAACCAATACTTTACAAGATTGTATTCCTTTAATAAGATTCTTTCAAATGTCAAGTATTGATTTATATGATAAAGTTTGGAGACCATTTAGAGAGATTTTACCTTCCAAATTAGAAGATGATATAGTAAAATGTCATTTAAAACCTGGTACCAAACCCGAATTTGGGATTAATACTCCTCGTGGGAATTCAACTTTAATTGGTCATCAACAAATGGCTCGTATAGCTGAATGGATAGATCGTTGTGAACCTTCAACTTATAATATTTCTGATATTCCTTATAAATTTAAATTATTGGTTCGAGGTACTAGAGATGGTTTCGATTCTACCACCTTTCATTTAAAATGTGATAATCAAGGTGCTACCTTTGTTATAATGAAAATTGCTAATTCAAGTAATCCTTGTGAAATTATTGGTGGTTATAATCCTATTAGATGGAAAATTGGTACTGGTCATATGGAAACAAGGGATAGTTTCTTATTTTCTTTTGGTAGTAGAAATAGATTAGAAGATGCAAAGATAAGTAGAGTAACAAGATATAATTATGCTATTACTTTAAGGGATGATAGTTATGGTCCATGTTTTGGTGATAAAGATTTATGGATGCATGGAAATTTCGCTGAGACGGATAGTTGTAGTTCTAAAGAAGATGATTATGAAACTTGGATTACAAAACATAGAAAATTCGCTGTTTCCGAATATGAAGTATTTAAGATTATAAAGAAGTGAATTCAAATTAATTCGAACATATTTATTTAAAGATTTATTTATCTATTTTTCTATTGTATTATTGTTATTATTTTTTTTTTTTTTTTATTATTATAAATATTGTTTTTTTTTAAATGTAAAATTGTTTCTTTTCTTCTTTTCTTTAAATGTAAAATTGTAATTTAAATGTAAAAACATTTTTTCTTTTATAAATAAAAATTTATATATTTTTTACGTTTTTTAACAAAAGTTGCACCAAATATTTTAAAGTATTTTAAAGGAAGGTGAGACTTGTTCATATTTGGCAAGTGCTATCCTTGCTTTAACTGGGATTTATGTATGTTTTTTAACCGTAGATCAGTTGATCATTATCTCTGGATTTAGGTTAAGATTGATTAAAAACACAATCACATGTCGATCGACATAAATTTTGCCATCAGATTTCATAATAAACGTAAAGGGTGAAACCCTACCCTTAAAAAAAATGGACTGCAAGTGTGGAAAACCCGCAAAACACCTGCAAACAAAAAAGGAAAATGCGAATAAAGGACGTTGGTTTTTTACTTGTTTCTCTAAGAATTGTAATTTTTTCAAATGGGACGATGATACTCCTAGATCAAGTCAGGATTCAACGATGAACTCGGGACCTTCATCGATGATAACAAATGACGGGTTATCTAATAATAATCCAAAAAAACTTCCATCTAACTTTAACAATTACAATAATAATCATCGTCATAATAATTATACTAATAATCCTTTAAATTCATTAAGAAGTCAACCTACTTCTGTACAAATAAATTTTGAACTTTATAGTAAACGTGAATTTATAGTTCAAGGATATCACCCAAAATTAGTTGATTTATGGAAAAATTATTTTAGAGGAAGTTATAAACCTGATGGTAGAGGTTGGGTTTTACCTTTATCAAAATATGAAGAAGCCATTAAAAAATTGAGAGAAGAAAATTTTAATTTTAATGTAGAAATTAATGGTTTCCCAGTATATGTGGTTAAACTTATTAATTCTGATAATGAAGAACAAGAAAAACAAAAACAAATTCAAATTGAAATGGAAATTAAAGAACGAGTTTCATCAGAATTATGGTCAACCTTAATGACATTTCAAAAAGAAGGGGTTACTCAAACAATAATGAAAGAAGGGCGTATTTTATTGGGAGATGAGATGGGACTTGGTAAAACGATTCAAGCGTTGACAATTTGTCAATTTTATCAATCGGATTGTCCAGTTCTTATAATATGTCCTTCTAGTTTAAGATTGACTTGGTCAGGTGAAATAAGAAAATGGCTTCAAATTTCAGATGATGAAATTCAAGTTTTCTTTCATACAAAAGATAAAGTTCGATCACCTATTCCCAAATTTGTGATAACAAGTTATGACCTTATTGCGAAAATGAGTGAAGAATATGAAGATAAATTTAATATAATTGTTTGTGATGAAGCACATTATTTAAGAAATAGAACTGTAAGTGATTTGTTTATATTAATTTTAGATTAATTTTAGATTTATTTATTTTATTATATTTATTTTATTTTATTTTATTTTATTTTATATTTTCATATAGACCAAAAGAGCGAGAAATATCTGTCCCTTAATACAAAAGGCTAAGAGAGCTCTTTTACTCACTGTTAATTTTATATTTTATTATTTTTTTCATTATTATATTTTTGTTTGATGATTTTATTTTTTATTATGATTAATATAAGATATAATCTCTTATCTTTAAAAAAAAAATAATAATAATATATATCTGTGATAAATTTAAACTATAATATTTAACAGGGGACACCGGTAAATTAAATCATCTCGAATTTTCATGAAGTTTTTTTTTTAAGAATTTACATATTTAGTCTTATGTCATTCATTCATATACGTAATGAATTTATTAAAGGCCTTATCAAAACCCAGTGAGCTTTTCTCACTAGCAAATGCATTAGATAAATCCACATTTGCCTCATTTCCTCAGTATGGAGCTCGATATTGTGCAGCTGTTAGGGGAGCGTTTGGATGGGATTACTCTGGTAAATTTAATAAATTTAATAATAATAATAATAATAATCAAATTATTTCATCCAATCATCATTATTCAATAATTTATATAGGTTCATCCAACTTATCCGAACTTAATTGGTTATTGGAGAGGACGATTTTAATTCGTCGACTTAAAAAAGATGTTGAATTACAATTGCCTCCGAAGACACGACAGATTATATATGTTGGTAAGAAACTAAACTTTAAAAGTTACACTATTTCCTTAATTTTCGTAAATAGGCAAGTCAATTAATATTAGATTATTATTATTATTATCTTTTTCTTTGCAGATATTCCAGCATCTGCTCTACGAGAGATTCAAGCATTACAAAAAGAATCTAAAAAATACCATTCAATTGCTCGAACAGCTACTGGAAGTCAAAGAAGGGATGCTGAATTGAAAGGGAAAGCATTAATAGTACAGATGGTAAATTCATTCATTCATTCTTTCTTGTAATTGAAATTGATTTTATTATCAGTAATTAAATAAATTTATAATAATCATATATTAGTGGTCTGAAACTGGTCGATCTAAAGTACCCGCAGTGCAAGAATATTTATATGAAATTTATAATAATTCGGAAAAGAAATTTTTAATATTTGCACATCACATTGAAGTTTTAGATTCAATAACGGAATTTATTGAATCCAAACTTAAAGCGAAATATATTAGAATTGATGGATCCACCAATCAATCTCGTCGACAAGCTTTAGTTGACGAATTTCAAGATGATAAACGAATCCGAATAGCTATTTTATCTCTTACAGCAGCATCCGCAGGTTTAACTCTCCATTCTGCAGATTTGGGTAAAAATAACTTTTACTTTTATTATTATCCATTTTATAGTTACATATATATATATATAAAGATGGATGGATAAATAATAATATTTTATATATTTTGTTTTTTTTTAATAGTAATATTTGCAGAATTATTTTGGAATCCATCAACTTTATTACAGGTAAAGTTTGTAATTGCTTGCTTTGATATTTCTTTGTATTTCTTTATATTTCTTTATATTTATATATATTAATTTCTTTTTACATATTAATTTATTTTTTTATTATAAATTTCCTTCACATATATATATATAATTTAAAGGCAGAGGATCGGGCACATGTTAGTTGGCTATAAAATTACTGTTTTCGATCTCTTTCCGATTGATATATATATATTTTATCATATATATCTTTTTTTTTCTTATTTCTTAAACTTTGATTTGTATAGAGGATTGGTCGTCAAGGATGTGTTGACATCAAGTATATTTTGGTTAAAGACACATCGGGTAAAGATCAATCAATCAGAATGATTTTTTGGTTTTTTTTTTTTTTTTTTAAAAAAAAAAGAATTATCTTCATAATAATAACATATAATAATAATAATGATAATAATAATGATAATAATAATAATAATGATAATAATAATAATAATAATAATAATTTTATATTTATAATAAAAATTTAGATTCCATACAATGGGAAATGGTGCGTCAGAAATTGAAAGTCGTTGGTAAAATGCTTGACAATAATATTGAGAAAGTTACAATGGAGGAAGGAACATCTTTTGGTGCAATTGATCCTGATCTCCTTTCTTGGTTTGGAAAAGTTAGTGGTGAAAATGAGAATAAACCTGAATCAACTAATAATAATAATAATGATGATGATGATAATGATACTACTACTAATGATCTGGAAAATACTGAAAATTTTGAAAATATTGAAAATACTTTTAATGAGGAAAAATTGAATAATGATCAAAATTCTTCACATTCATCAATGAACGATTTAGTAAATGATGAATCGAAAGAAGATTTAATTGATTTAGTCGATTTAGTAAAGGATGAATCGAAAGAAGATTTAATTGATTTAGTTGATTTAGTAAAGGATGAATCAAAAGAAGAAGACTTAATTGATTTATTTGATTTAGTCAATTATGATGATGATTTAATTAATTATGATGTGAATGTGAATGTGAAGGATGAGACTAAAGATAATGATTTAGTCAAAAGTGATGAGACGAAAGATGATGATTTAATAAAGGGTGATGGGAAGGACGATTTATTAATGCATGATTTAGAAAAGGACGATATTTTTCCACTCATGGATTTTGATGATTTTGATGAATGGGTAAAATCCGATGATACTTTATTTCCAAAAATCGAAACAACTTGTCACGAGGGTGAAATCATCGATTCAAATATTAATCTTGACAACGATAGCGAGAATTTAAGTAATAATGTGAATTATTTAAATGAGATAAACGTTGATACTGCAAATAATGATTCATCCTACCTCGAAGATCTTTGCACTTTCAAAGACTTAACAACAACCACCACCACCGCAACGACGGCGACGAAAACAATGACGACGACGACAGCGACTCATCAAACAACAACACAATATTTTAGTCAAACAATTCAAGCACTTTATGACAATCATAACAATCTAATTGATAATGAGAATGAGACCAAATCCAAATGTCACTGGAATTCTGATTCTTTCGTTTGTTATTTAAAATTCATTAATAATTATATTTGGCCACCTCAAAATATTATGGAATCTCAGGAATTTAAATTTTTAATTATTAAACATTATGTAAATAGTATGGATATCAAAGATTGTAAATTAGATGATGAATTAGATGATAAATCCTTTAATCCCGAAATTATTTGTCAACAACTTGGATTTAATTCTTTTGAAGAATTATGTAATCATTATCAAAAGTCCTCTTACAATTCTTACAATTGGAACAACAACATCAATAAAAATAATAACAATATTAATAATAGTATTAGAAATAATGATGCTGAGGAGAATGTGAATATAAAAGAGGAATCAAAGGGAAAATTAAAGCACAAATTTGATAGTAATGATGATGAAATCTCAATAGCCTTATCTCCTAAAAAAATTAAATATTCTTGAAAAGTATTATTACGTAATTGATAATTTTAATAATTTTTTTTTTAATAATTTTTAATAATAATTCATGTAAATATTTATATATATATATAAAAGTATACATCTAATATATAATTATTTGGAAGATAAAATAATTCAATATTTTATTATTTAGCTTATTCATTAAAAAAATAAAATAGGCTATTGAGAATATATTTTTTCTTCTCGTTAGAACCAATTACGTCATATAGTTTACGTCATATAGTTAAAGTCATATAATTAACGTCATAATGTACGAAATACCCCCGTGCAAAGTGCCCCTTTGAATACCTGGGGTATTTTACTGTTTATCTCTTTGTACTATTATATATATATATAATAGATACAATATCGTACAAAGATCTTCGAACGCACAACACGCGAACTCCTGAAAATTTTTAATTTGTTGATTTTTTTTTATTCCCCTTTACCAAATAAGACCATATTGAATATTGATCACAAATATGTTTCATTATTCAATATATATATATAATATATTAAAAGAAGGATATAACAGAAGAAAACCGAAATTCTTTCTTTCTTTCTTCTCTCTCTCTCTCACAACCCCACACCTATACATTCTCTCTCTGAGTTCAAATAGTCATGGCACCCAAATGCAAGAAACTTTATAACCAGAATTACAAAGAAATATTTATGCATTGTGCTAGAACAGCTTCACATTTTAGAGATGATAAATTTCCACCGGAAGATTCTTCAATTTGTAAACGTGGTTCTGTTGAAGATCTTGGACCAATAACATGGACAAGAGTCAAGGTATTTTTTTAATTACCGAATATTATTTTATTTAAATATTTTATTAAATGCTTTCTTTTCTTTTTCTTTTAGGAAATAATTAATGATCCACACCTTTTTATATTTGACAAAAATAAAAAATTAAATACTGATGTTGTACGAGGGTAAATAATATAATAAATTTAATTAATGATAATAATATTTGATAATAAAAATAAAAATAATAATAGTAATAAATAATATTTATCAAATAGGGCAGTTGGAAATAGTTGGTTTGTATCAGCTTTAGGAGTATTATCAGCGCATCCACATCTTTTAGAAAAAGTTATTCCAAAATGGTCATTACAAGATTGGAATCATAGCGAAGAACCAGGAAAACAGTTAGGAATGTATAATTTTAGGGATACTGAGCGTCACCCAGGTAATTGAATTTATTTATTTTTATTTTTTATTTTTTATTTTTGTTTTTGTTTTTATTTTTATTTTTATTTTTATTTCATTTCATTTCATTTTATTTTATTTTAAGGTGTATTTCGATTTCGATTTTATCGATTTGGAGAATGGATAGAAGTAATAATTGATGATTATCTTCCAACAAGAAATGGACAATTAATTTATGCACATTCAAAAGATCCCCGAGAAATGTGGTGTTCCTTATTAGAAAAAGCTTATGCAAAATTATGTGGAGGATATAGAATTTTAGAAACAGGTGCAGCTTCAGATGCCATAGTTGATTTAACTGGAACAGTACCAGAAACAATTGAATTAAATAAAGAAGGAATATTAGGTCAATTAGGTGAAAAAGGATTAATAAATTTGATGAAAATGGAAAACTCTAAACATTCATTAATGAGTTGTTCTATAAATGCGTTTGAAGAAGAGAGGAAATACGAGCTTTTACCAAATGGATTGGTTGTTGAGGTATATTTTTTATATTTATTTTTTCTTATTTTCTAGTTTTCTTAATTTTTTTTTTTTAATTTTCTAAATCTAAATCTAAATCCTAAATTCTAATTTTAGTAGTTTTAGTAATTTTAGTAGTTTTTAGGAATTTATTGATATTCATTCTTTTATTTATTTATATTTATTTATTTATTTATCGATATTTTATTTAATTATTATCTTTTCTTATTATTAGCTTCCGTATGGTATAACGGATATACAAGTAGTAAAAATCGGAGTACTTAAAATAAATAACGAAATTGTTCTTATAAAACTACATAATCCATGTAATGAAGTAGAATGGAGTGGACCATGGTCAAATAAATCACCGGAATGGAATTTAGTTGATAATATAAAACGAAATAAATTAATTGTTCAAGATGGTGATTTTTGGATGGTATTTAAATTATTCTCTTAATATCTTCTTCTAATAACTTCTCCTAATAACTTCTCTAATATCTTCTCCTAATATATTATCTAATATTTTCTCCTAATATCTCTTTTAGTCATTCCATGATTTCATAACAAATTTTAATTCTTTGGTAATTTGTCGACATTTAAATACATCATTATTTTCAAGAGGAAAACGTTGGCATGGAACAACTTTTTATGGAGAATGGTCAATAGAAAATGAAACAGCGGGAGGATGTATTAATAATAATTCAACATTTTATCAAAATCCTCAATATTTAATTAGAATTAACAAACCTACCACAGATCTCGTTATATCACTTATGCAAAGTGATCATCGATCCGAGATAGGTGTAGAATATATAACGATTGGATTTATATGTTTAAAAGTTGAGGAAAATCGAAAATATCGAATTCATAAATCAACGTACGAAGTGGTTGGACGAGTCACCTACATAAATTCACGTGAAGTTACTAAAAGAATAACACTTAATGAGGGACAATACATTTTAATTCCTTCAACTTATAATATAGGAGATGAAGGGGAATTTTTTTTAAGAATTTTTTCATCCAAAGAAATAAATATAAATTTATTAAAAAAAGATGCACCCAAAAAAAATTGGTATTATCCAATTCTTTATCAACGTAGAGCTTATTATGTGGGAATGGTTAGAGCGAAAATAATATGTGGACAATTTAATCGAGAAATAACTAAAGGATTTGTACGAATAATATTTTTGGATTTAAGGAGTCGAATTAAAAAAGCTGTAATTTCACCAATATTTAATAATTCATTTGAACCTGATATAGAAGCCGAATATTTATTTTATGTAAGAAATCCTTCATTAGCCACAATCATATTTCAACTATATGAATGTTCAACATTTGGTAAAGATAATATTATAGGAGAAGTAAAAATATTATTAGGACATTATGCTAAATCTAGTAAAGAAGGAAGATTTTGGGAAATTACCAAAACTATGACTCGAGTTATTAAAGCACCTCCGTATATGGGAACAATTAAAAATGAAGAAATGGAAGCAATTAATAATAATAACAACAATAATAACAATCATTATGATATAATAAGCGAAAATAATCAATTTATACCTAAAATAGTTAATTCTTCAACTACAAATTTGAATATACATAATGAAGATGATAATTATGGGAGTAGCGGTGAAGATAATAATGATGAAGCACATATTCTAAGAAGTTTTCCAAAACAAAAACTCGTTGTAACACCGATGGAAAAAGGAAGAACAGATAAAGGATTTTTAATACCGATAACAGTAGATGCGGGAATTGGTGAATTAAAAATAAGAATGATTTATCTTCGGGGAGTAAATAATTAAATATTTATTATATTTATTCATTTAAATAATTTAGATTTATTTATTTTTGTTATATATTTAATCCATTTGTAAATTATTTAATATTCTATTATAAGTTTCCTTTTTTATTATTTGCATGAATCAAAATTTTGTTAATACATAATTACATATTTAATACAATGCGTAATTGCAAAATAAAATTTTTGCGCGATAATATTATATATGATAATATTTCATATGATCTATTAATCTTCGAAGTAAAGTTCACCTAATATAGAATTGCCAGCGTGCTGTTCGAAAAAAAAATCGAGTAATGAATACATAGCCAATTGTATGCATTCACATTCTCGTATCTAAATACCCTTTCACTTCTCAGAATCTTCTCTTACATTCTTTGTCACAGTGCCAGAATTTTCATGCAAAAATCATCTGATTTATTGATTGGCAAATCGAATTTCGAACAATAGTCTTTGATAACGTGAAATATATAATAATAAATTCAGTTAATGCCTCTCTCATTAACTAAGAATATTTTAATAAGTAACAAATAAGCACAAGTTTCTTTATCCTATAAATAGTAGTGACGTCACAAATCAAGTTACTATGCAAGCAATTCACAAGATTTACTATTTAAAGAATGACGTAACGAATCCTTTCTTGAGGATTGGTAGACCTTAATCCAAGAAAAACTTTTGTTTACGAAGATAACTAGTTACTAGATTTTATTGTGTATACGCCATGTCAAATGTTTATTCAAATGTTCAATCCCACCAGCAAAGAATGAACAAGTGTTGCATTTGGCATCACAAATATAACCTTTCAACTAGATAACTTGTGCGCTAAGTGAACCGTCCTCGTTGTTATTACTAACTAACTCAGGTATCAGCAAAAGTCCCCTCACGCCAACGGTCTCACTTCCACCGACAAAGAATAAAATAAAAAAAAAAACAAACAAAAACAAAAAAACAAACCAAACTATATATACAACTGCTCGGGTGACATCACAAAGGTTTTTTTTTGATTACTAATAGAATATATTTCAACTATTCCAAAATACCACATCAATATGAGATACTTCCCATTCTCTTACTAATAAATCTTCTGCACCTCATCAAAAATCAAATATGTTTTTATTTTACCACATTGTTTGATAAAGTCATCCCAATTCACTTCACTCTAATAAATCCATCTGCAAATGTCCAGGATGCAATTAATTTTTTCCATCCACATCAATGAAATGCGAGAAACATGATCCTTCGCTTCATCTAACTGGAGAATCCTTTGTTCAAATAGTTGTGAAAGCGTTGTTTTTCCAGTCATAGGTAGTGAATGATCTAGTATAATGCGTTCCTTTAAACAGACATTCAAGCAGTCTGTTAATAGTTAGTTCTCTCTGGCATACAATATCATGAGTAAGATCGACACTTTCATAACCTCCTTTAAAAGATGTTCCTCCAAGACCTCCTATTCAATACAGAATAAGAAAAATAACGTGAATAAAATGCATTTTGGTATAAAAATCAAAAGACAATAGGCGCGTCTGTCAAATTGTTATTTGTGAAAATGATTAAGAAATGGAATAAGTTAACATCAACAAATTTCTTGTTCGAGAGGAAGACACTTACCAGTGATGGCGAGTGGTTGTACAATGAAGTTGGATGCGTTTTTCTGGAGGGTTACCGAAAAAATTTCCTTAGATAAATCAAGTTCGTCCAATTTAACACCTCCGAATTCTCTTTGAATATTAGTTTCGATATTTTTAAGTTTTTCTTTGTTTTCATAGGTTCCTTCGATCTCAACCTTCCAAAGAACCATTTTAAAGCTATCAATAACGTCTTTTTTCTCCTCCAAAATGAGGTAATGAGGTCTATGAGAAGTCTAATAGTGAATTTTCAAAAGGGATTGGAAAGTTCTTGATGTTTTCTCCCAAGAAAGTATGAAAACCACGAATGTCACCTAGGGCGCCATATTTCTGCGAACGCGAAAAACCGAGTTAAAGTTGATTTCTTCAGTAAAGACCTTTTGGATACAACGTTAGATTAGTAGGCATGGAATTTTCCTCAATTTTAATTTGCACATAGGATGGGGGAAAGGGACATTTTGATTATGTAACTTTACTGACGCGTCATATAAGACATATATATATCATAAATGATATGACGTAATTGACGTATCGACGATTTGTATATGTATTTTCATAAATTTTTTATTTCTTAGATGTGACACGACAAACGCGTGAGAAATTGTATATTATGTCAAAAATACTTTATATTTAAATTAAATAAATAAATAAAATTAAAATAAATAAATTACTAAAAAAATCAAAACCAGTTTTATACAAATACTAAATTACATAAATAAAGATTTTATCCATTTGTCATTTCATATGCAAAAACCTTTGGTAAAAAAGCTGCCTTTGATTAAAATATGGCAGTTGATAACAAGTGAAATTATTATTTATATATTTCTTCAAAAAAATTCAAATAAAAAAAATAAAAAAAATAAAAAAAAAATAATAAACTAAAAAAAAAATAGATTGAAAAAAAAAAGGTAAAAAGGTAAAAATGTAAAAAATGTAAAATGAAAAATAATAGATATATATATATGTATATATATCAGAAAAAATAATTACACCCTGATCTTCATAATTGAAAATAGAGCGACAATGAATTTTATAACTAAGAAAAAAAAATTATAAACATAAATCTACCAAACATCCTCTATAAGTACCTGATATAAAAGAAAGCTAAGTTATATTAGTCTTCTAATTAAATCTATCGTCACCTTTAAAAATCTTGCCGAAAATAATATATTAGAAACACCAACCAAAATGGTAGCGAGTGTTCACCTGAAACATTGTAGTAACATGGAAATAAATTGAGGTGCATGTAATCAAAACAAACAAAATGACAAATGAATAATTCACCCAAAGCACAGAGCCGGGTCAGGCGTTATAGACAATCTTTAAGTCAAACCTTTGCTCTCTATTAAAAATCCAACAATCAACTTTTGGAATTTGGTAAAATCATTCTTTCAACAACAACCACCACTGGATTGTTGTGGTACTGATGTTCCTTGTCCAACTCTTACTGTTTGCTTAGGAGCACCGCCGGGAGAGACAGTTGTTGTGCCCATTCTTTTATTGATATCATAAAAAAAAAGATTTTTTTCATCAAAATTATATTTCAAGTAAAATAAAATATTTCAATCATTAGAAAAAAAAAAAAAAAGAGATCTATACCTGTCTTTAATTTGCTTAGCCATTGTTAAAAAGGCTTGTTCGACATTCGTTGCATTTTTTGCAGATGTTTCCAAGAAAGGAATACTTAATTGATCAGAAAATTCCTAGATTTTAGGATGACCGTAAATATAAATATAATTTATGAAATAACGAAATAATGAATATAATGAATATAATAAATTTTAATTGATAATACCTTCGCTGCTGCATAATCTACTACTTTCTTGTTCTGCAAGTCACTCTTATTTCCTACTAATAATTTATTGACACCTTCGCAAGCATAACGATCAATTTCTTGAAGCCATTGTTTCACATTGACAAAAGTATCTTGATCGGTCACATCATAAACGACAATGATTCCATGAGCGCCACGATAGTAAGAAGAAGTAATAGTTCGGAATCGTTCTTGACCTGCAGTATCCCACTATAATAACACATTTACGATAACATAGTTTCAAAATGACAAAATATTTCGTAAATATATCAATTATATCAATTAAAGGATTTTATAAATTATATAAATCAAAATTAGAATTAAGAAATGAATTTGATGAATCAACTTTTCGTAAAAAAATAATTATTTTTAGAATTAAATAAACGTACAATTTGTAATTTTACGGTTTTTCCTTCAAGTTCAATAGTACGAATTTTCTAAAAAGTAAAAAAAAAAAATAATTATTATAATTATCTTTAAAATTTGATACATTTGAATGAATGAAAGAGTAAAGATCATGTCTCACGAAACGTTCTAAATTGCCAAGAAAAAAATAATAAATAAAAAATAAACACTTACAAAATCCACACCAATGGTGCTAATATAACTTTCCGTGTATGTATCGTCAGCAAATCGGAGGAGCAAACAAGACTTACCAACACCAGAATCACCGATCAAAAGGAGTTTAAAAAGGTAATCGCTAAATAACCAAAATATTTAAATTTTAATTTTTCAGATTCTCCTTAATAATGAATGAATTTGCTTTTATTTTGAGATAATAATAGTGATAATTCTATGTTCTAATTTATGCGTGGCGCAGATAAAAGAAGAGATGATGAAAAGAAATGTTAAAGCCACAAAAGAAATGACAACTATGCTGGTGAAAAGAAGCATTGGCAATAATTATAAAATTAACTCTTCAAACAAAATCGCTAAACCACCACATAAATTATACATCCACCACTTTGATATCCTTTACAACACAATAATCTTATTGAAAAAAAAAAAAAATTTATAAAGTTCAACTAAATTTTAATGTTCTCTACTTACTATTCTGGATTCATATTGACGGTTTGAAAGAAAATAAATGAATATAATCGAGTTTAGAGAAGTTTTGCCAACTGATAAGTAATGTGACGATAAGAAAAGGATAATTATTTAAACCTAAATTCGTGATGCAAAAGTTATATGTATTACGTGATTACTATGATAGTATGAATAGTATGATTAGTACGTATTAACTTGTGGCGAAGCGAAGCTCCATGTGACCGATCCTTTCATAATCTTTCATAATCTTTCAGGTGATTAATCCAGAACCAGGATTAATTTAGCAAAAGGGGGTTAATCAGGTATTCTTAAAATCTGGAATTCGAGATTCTTCATGTGATCATTAGAAAAGATCAAATTTATCAAAATACGCGAAATAATACAATAATACACTAACAACTTCAAGTGAGTAAAGTAAGGTTTAACCATTATAAAGTAATAACAAAAATGCATAATAATTAACAATTATAATAATTATAATTATAAAACAATTAACCACATGCGCATCTGATTACCAAACCGAATATTTACCCCTGATACATGAAAAACATCTATGTAATTCCTTTGGGGAGGTTACCGAAATGATTATACACATGATATTGGTTTTTTTGCGATCTGCCGGCATGTAAAGCCTTGCCTTCCTGGTATTGTCACCTAAATTAATATTTATTAACCCAACAGTCCGTGGGCATGTGATTTCAACTCAACTTAATATAATACATTTTCCTATTGATTTATGAAAATTCAAATAATAATTAAACTACTTTATGTTTGCAATTAAGTTGATTATATCACAAAACTTTGAGGAATACCTTGCAATTAAAAACAGGTTCTCCCAACGCGATTAAGCGGAAAAGAACGCTGAAAGGAACCTCGTCAATGAGTTATCATCCAATGCACAGGAGTGGTTTCGTAATGATAAATAGTTCAGGCGTGGAACGGCATTGGACTCCAACTCAAAGTAAACGAGGAGCGCGAAAAGATTTGTGTAATTGTAATAGCTTAGCTTAAATTTTAATGCGAAGTCAAAGAATTGCCATGGAGCATAATACCGCTAGCAATTCTTTCTAAATCATAATTCAGGTTAATATTTTTTTTCTAATCCTGACCAGATTTCTACGATGAAAGATGTTAAAAATTATTGGAATTCACATTTTTAGTTTCTTCTTCATTGATTAATTAATTCGGTTATAGATGATCGAAGTGGAAAATACTGACAATGGTGATACGATAAAGATTTTATAGAAGATTGTTGTATATTTATCACTTTTGAAAAACTTTCATTAACTGGAATTATAAGGATAAAAAATACCAAATAAATTGTATGACGATAGAAGAATTTTCCGGAAATTTCTAAAACTGGAAATCCAGATTTAGAATATAGATTTTTATTGATTTTTAATTTATTTCGTCATTTTATTTTTATTTCCTCACCATTTCATCATTTCAAAAAAAATGGTCAAATATGTAATCACGAGAGTATCTGAATATTCTGAATATTCTACAAAATGCCTCCTGTTGAACAACTTCGTGATTTCACGAGAAAGCTAAAGCTCCTTTACGCTGGCAACATTATATCATTTTTACTTGTCTTTACTATCCAAATATATTTTCTAGCTTCAAAAAATTATGACGAAATTATTGAAAAACACCCGACTTTTTTTACTCCTTCAACAATTTTTACTAAATTACTTTCGTATCTGCTTTATACATTATTCTTCTGTTTTGTTTTATACGCACAATTTAATCACATTTACATTGTACTGCAACTGGTGGAGCATGGAATTGGATACTTATTTATCATAAGCAATCTCTTGAATTTTTGTTGGGTTGCGTCTTGGGTAAGAAATATTTTAATATATATTTTTTTTTTTTAATTTTTATGACAATTTTATTTTTTTTTAAAAAAAAAAATCGAAATAATTTTTATCACTTTATTCTAAATAGTTAATGGAAGGATTTATTTTGGGTGAAATATTTACATTGCTTAACTCTATTGTCACATCCAAAATTCATCATAATATTATTGTCGATTTTCCACCTTCATCTTTTCCTTCCTTGCAAGCCTCCGTGATCATTTTTTGTATTCATACACCATTTTCTATGTATAGCGCAATTACATTTTCAAATGTATTTTATAATGGATTCATTGCGTTTACTGATATGAATGATCAATATTTTATCGTGGCATCGGTATGTGCTTGGTTTCTTACTGTCATTGGATTAACATGGGCATTAACTGGAATAATGAGTAAGGGTAGAAGAGATGGTGTTTTTAGTGCGACGATTGCATGGTATTTTTTATTCTATTAATCTCTAAAAATATTTAATAGATATATAAACTAATTATTATTATTATATGTGATAGGGAATTACTTGCTATTGCAACACAACAACGAGAATTCGAATTTTTTTCAATTCAATGTTTTGTCCTCGCAATTGTCATTTTTGTAACTATTCTTGTAGTTTGGATTAGATTAGGTGGAGAATTGACAGAAGTAATAAGACAACAAAATAATATCACTATTATTTCTGAACAACATGATCCTTTATTGCAGCAAGAGAATGAAGAATGATAATAATAATTCTTTTATATTTAGGGAGATTTATTCTTTGCAAAAAAAAAATTTATTGTTTCTTGGCTTCTAATTAATAAAATTAAAATAATATGCTTTTTTTTAAATATTTTAAATTTATATAATATATATGATAATGAGATTATCAGGGATTATAATATAATATATCAATTTTATTCGTGACTGCATTACGGTGAGTATTACTATGGTAATCTGAGTGAAGCTTACTATACATGTCATCAAAATTATTGAATTTAGTTAAAATTACGAAAAATTTAAAATTGAGTAACTTATATAAATCTTTCACTTAATATGTTATAATTATTGACAGATACCTCAAATATATAAATTTCCGAAGATGATTTTTCAGTAGAATAATTAGTTTTGATATTATATTTACAATTACGTAATTCTCTCAACTTAAAAGAGGAAATCTTTTTTCATTAGCTATTTTTCGATAATAATATTGATTATTTAGATCATCAGAGGCTGTTTCCATATTTGTATCGCGAACCGCTTTCAAAGCATTTACTCGGTCGTATTGATTCCATGTTTTAACACGTATATATGGTTTCTTCGAAATATGATAACCACGAATTGTTAAGTGTTTAATATAAGTGTTTAATATATATCTTGTAACACATTTTTTTTCCTGGTGTCATTTTTCCCAAAATAAAAATCATATCATGCCTGATATCATAGGACCTCACTTTGTTATGGTCAGAACATAAAAATATTTTACTGTTATATTACAAATGAAATACCATAAATTATTACATTATAGGTGATCAGCAAAAAGAACATATGCTTGTAACAACATTCGTGATTTCATGATACAAGAATTGAATTGAAAAATAAAATTAGAAATTAGAAATAATAAAATCATATTTGAAATGGAAAATAATACTTCCTCAAGTGCAGTTAAACTAAACCTGTTATATTATTACTTCTGATGGGTCTGCAAGATCAAGACCACTTTTATTATAATTTTCTCTTGGCCATCTTTTTGGAAAACTATTAAAAACTTCTTCCCAATATTCTGCAGAAATTTCAGCCTTGTAAATTGTAGTATAGGTAGAAATAAAACGTGCAACTAATAAAACCTGATCAGTGTTCTTCTTAAATTTATGTATATTTTTCATCTACACAAGCAAGTATTTTGGTAGCAATTTTCATCTCTCCATATTCATTTCTAGGGTCAACATTTTGTAAAGTTTTATTCTAAAAACCTATTTAAATAATCAAAAATTATTGACTTGTCAAACATCTGTAATAACCATAGACATTGTTCCTTTAGTTACAACAAAATCAGATTCTGTCAAAACACAAGGCTCATGGAAGATATGTAGTTTACTTTGTGGTTGAATTCTGGATTTTGAAGGAAAATTTAGGAAGCCATTGGAATAAAATAATATGGTAAAGATTTTCTCAAATTACTAACATTATTTTCAAAGGATAATTATTTAGTCAGTGTCACTGGTGGTCCTGGGCTTTCTCAAGAACCACCTAGTAGAGTGACTTAACAGTTCTTTTAAGGAGTTTATAGTCCTTTCCCAAAGGTAAGACTGTTGTTTCATTATTTTAGAAGGTACCACTGATTCAGTTATTTT